GATAGATAGATAGATAGATAGATAGATAGATAGATAGATAGATAGATAGATAGATAAATACATATATAGATATTTTTGGGGTATTTCTCTATCAACCAAGTGGTCACCAACTGAGCGCTTCATTTCCCGGGCAACGCCGGGTGTCCCGCTAGTTACCTCATAAACGTAGTCGTAGACGAGTCCCTCGGTAGGAAGGTGACAGTCTATCTTCCCCACGGCGCTGGGAATAGGGTGCTTTTCGTCTTTCCCTAGGAGCAGGTTGCGTATGTACTCATCGAACTTCTCTCTGCTAGCAGTGTCTGAACTGCCACCTAGCGACCAAATCAAGCCGAAGAGGAACGAAGCCTAAAAAAAGACACACAGCTCTGACTTTCTTCCACCATTGCAACATTACACAAATATAACAAAATCTCTGTTCGCATAACAAGAATCCCTGCACACTTAAGATGATACGGCAATACACCCCCACGCAGTTGACCTTCTCTTCTGCCTTCATCCACGCGAACAACTTCAAATGAGGAAACAGGCGAACAAAAAGAACACGGATGAAATTCATACATGAAGGGTGAATTCAGGTAAAAAAAATAATAACTTCGAAAAAAATAAAACCGATAACTTCGATAACTCCGAGTCCGATGAAAAGAGTCTGACGGGATGGATCCCAGTACCTGAAGCCACACGGCGAGGACCTTGGCATCGGGAGGCTGCGGCGATCCCGCATCCGGCTCGCACTCTCTCTTCATCAGCATCTCGACTAGATTCATCAGAGACTGCACCAGGTTGGAGTTGCTCGTCGGGCAGAGTTCCTACACGCGAAGCACACGGACACTCTCTACAGACACTCACCCCACGACACACACGAGCATTAGTCCTCGCCTCGAGATGTTACGTGAGCCGTAGCGAGGCGCGGCTAGCGTGCCTACCGCCACTGCTATGTGGGCGAGTGACAGTCAATGGGGGAGGGGGCAGTGTGACGGCCTGTGGTGGCTACTATGTACGTATCAGATTATTTGTGAAAGTTGAGTTACCGTTTGCAAATGTTCAAATTCCGAACATCTTACAACAAACGTACGTATCAGATTCTTTGTGAAAGTTGAGTTACCGTTCCAAATGTTCAAATTCCGAACATCTTACAACAAACGTACGTATCAGATTCTTTGTGAAAGTTGAGTTACCGTTCCAAATGTTCAAATTCCGAACATCTTACAACAAACGTACGTATCAGATTCTTTGTGAAAGTTGAGTTACCGTTCCAAATGTTCAAATTCCGAAC